AATATTTTGTAGTTGTTTGTCCACTTAATACTTTAAATCATTTCAAATATCGTAGGTAAGTGCGTAAGAGAATTTTTTATTCTTTTATACCAAAATTAAGATGCTCTTAGAAAAAAATTAAATAATTACTTCATTATTAATACGTCTATGCTTATAGCGCAAATTTGAATTGCATTCGGTTGTTAAATGAGAAATGAGAAATTTGTGATATTCAGTACAATTCCATAAAAAATTGTCCTATTTTATATAAATACAAGATTTCCCTTTATTTGATTGCTTCATTCGGATTCATTATTTTTCAGCATGGAGTAAAATTGACTTTTCTTTTGCAACAACCTTGCATCCAACATTGTTCTTGCCGGTTGAATAATAGATCTTCTAATCTTCTAAAGTGTACCCGGGTCCAAGTTTATACGGTATTTTATCATACAACTGCTTGTGTGCATCAACCTGAATACAGTTGATTATGTGTTCATAAATAATGTACTGACTTTTGAAAGAGAATTCTGCCACAAAAAGTTTAATTTATACGCTTAAATGACTGATAAGCTTTTACCTGCTTTCATTTTAACACTAATAGCATATTAAGTGTTCTCTGTCATTAAGCATTACTCTTAGAGCATGGATTTGAGGTCATCCTCCATCCATGACTCCCCAAACTCTGACTATTCACCTGAGAGTTGAAGGAGCAATGCTATTTGGATGGGCTTTAGATTGAACTGGGGGGTAAAATGTGCGAATAGTATCAAGAGTCGGCAACCAGAGGGCAGATAGGCTCATTTTTAGAATCTATTGATATATATATATATATATTTATTTATTTATTTATCCTTAAATAACTTTTAGTCAAGGGGATATTTTTGATCGTCAACCGTGATTCGAGCAAAAGGTGAATGCGGAATGGTAGATAAACGTGCGAAATAATCGTGGGGTGAGTTTCGCAACGAGTTAATTGCCAGAATAGATTAAAGTCCGCAGTGAGCAAAGTTGGTTTGTTACTTCGTTACTTTTGTCAGAGATGATGTTATTATGTTTTCCTCATTCGCTATAAGCCCTACTTAACCAATATCAAATGAGCATATGCATTTTCGTGCATTATGCTTGAGTAAAGACACATTTTGGAAGCGCAAAGGGTCCAATTTGGCCAATAGTTGTTAATTAAAATGGGAAAATTTTAATTGACTTTTATTTTTGTGTATGCTTGCTAATCATCTTCTATTATTTTATTATTATTATTATTAGTCAATTTGATCTGACGCCGGAAATGTTGCCGTCAAAAAACGATTATTAATCACCAAGCTACAGGCATTATCCACGTCAGAGTATAATGCTGTGAGCAATTAGCTTTTGCTAGCTTGTTCGGTTTTAACATCTGGATTGTGGTAAAATTTCTATACTTTATGAGGAGATTTAAGGGACTTTAATAGAATAATGGGAATATTGTTGATTCGAGTTAAACTGTTCGAAATCAAGTGCACCCACTAAAGTGATATTTTCCCAAGCCAATAAGTCTACAGAATGTGGTATGAGTTTGCGCTCAGGTTGGCATAAATGTATATGATGGACTTCTGTTGCCAAGTTTGCTGATAGAATTTTCATACGTGTCAATGATGCACAAGAGAAATGATTCGAAAGAAAGCTTCACATCTGGACTCAAGTTGAAATGTTGCCTAGACTCGCTTTCTTGTTCACCATTTCCTTATTTGAGCAGGAGCAACTAATCAAGGCTATTGTAAATCAGTGATAAATCGAGGTTCAGTGACTTGAGTAATTTCTACAAAGTGGCATTTTTCCTCAGAAACCAGTTTTCCAACAATCTGAGCCGATCTCATCAACGCCTTCAACAAAATCGCAGCCTGTTTTGTGACAATTACGCCAGCTACTCACATCCGACATAAGTAATACTGTCGATCGCATTGACAAATATGTTTTTGCCAGCCGCGACTGGGTCGTGGGGCTCGAATCGCTTTGGACCTGCTGATGAGACCAGTTCAGACGAGGTCAAGCCTGAAGCCCAAACTGAGGTACAGAGTTTAGTGTAAAATGAAATGAAGGTCTCGAAGCCTACTTTTGCCAAAAATGGCGCATTCAGGTTGGAGTTAGTCTGGCTCATGTGCATCTTCTCAACTGATGGGCGGTCAGATTCGCTGTTTGCTCGGCCGCCCTTGCTGTATATATTTATCCCTAATTGCCCTAGTTACTGTGCTCTCCATGGACGCAATTGATCAAAGCAGAACGGCTGCCTTAAAAGAGGCAACACCAAAGTGACACATGCCTTCCGAGGACACTTCCTCCACAACGGACAGGACATGTAGCCTTGCCCGAGGTCATGTTTTTGGCCGACACCTCGGGCGGACTCGTCCTGTCCAAGGCCGATATGTCAAACCGGATTTCCACCTCATCTAACCTGACCGTTGTCCATGGCGACAGATCGAATAGGCAAAAGGACATGGACATATGCCTGGTATGACTTTAGGCAGATGAATATTATAGAAAATTCCGTCTAATAACTAGATGGTCATTTTGAGCGGAGTAGAGAAATCCGTTTATTTGGCCTATTTACCTTGTATTAATATCTATTATTAAATATCATATTTATAGTGTATAAATGAAATGCAAATCAAAAGTAAGACTACTAATGATTTTGTCAGTAGTGTGTATATTTATTCGTAAATAATCTATGCCAAACGTGCTCTAGACGGCGTCTACTTGGAGGGTTTTATGCTATTTTCTTGGACAGGAGTTGAACTTTGCGACGTGTCGACCATCATGGACGTGCTCTGTTGCACAGCCTCCATCCTCCACCTGGTCGCCATCGCAATTGACCGCTATTGGGCCGTGACGAGCGTCGACTACATTCGTCGTCGGACCGCCAGTCCGATCCTCTTCATGATCGCCGTTGTCTGGATCGTCTCGACGGCCATTTCGGTTCCGTCGCGTTTCCACCCCGGCCGGAGTGTCGACGAAGTGGAACAGTTGGTGCTTGTCAACGGCACGTGCATAATCAACCCAAACGGTGTGTTCACCATTTTCTCCACAGTCGGTGCCTTTTTCCTGCCAATGTGCTTCCTCATCGGCATCTACTTCAAGATCTACCAAGCCGCCAGTTCGCGCATTCGCAAGAAGAAGTTCCAAGCCAAGTTGGACACCAACCACAAGGTCAAGCCGACCTACCCTCGGCCGATGCCAGTCGGCATGACGTCGAGTTCGGCGACGTCGAAAGAGACGTCAACTCGGACAGACGGACAAAACGGCGGCCACGAGACGGCCGCAACCACGCCCAACTCCGTCGCCAACCGGTCGGCCTCCAACTCGCCCGGCCGCCGCCTCCAACAGACCGTCCAAACTGTACCGGCCGCGGTCGCCGCGCAGCCGGTCAGACGCCACCCACTCAGCCGGGCAGAACGTCGACTGCGGCGCCAGTACTTCTACCCTCCCTATCTGTCCTCAGAGTCGACGTCGATGTCAAAGTCGACGTCGACGTCGACGTCGACGTCGACATCGTCGCCCTCGCCCTCGAGCAGGTCGGACCTTCTCTGCCCCGAAATCGGCTCGACCGAAGTGGCGCCCGCAACCAAACTCGCCTCCACCCCCCTCCCCAATCGGTACCATTTGCCCCTCTCCTCCTCCTCGCCCTCGTCGCCTTGCTCATCTTCCTGTTGCTCCGCGTCGGCCGGCCGGGCGGCGTGTTACGACCAACTGTCAGTCAGTCCCGTCGTCGCCGGCGCCGACGCGGCCATGCAGAGTCCGCAAATGCCGACCGAGGGCGAGGAGACCGTGACCTCGGGCTCCGTGGAGACGAGTCGACGCACGGTCTCCGGGTCGGCCAGTCCCGGCGACGGCCGGTCGACGCAAGCCTGCGCCCCATTGGCCTATCCCCAGTCGCCACGAGTCCCGCTCCTCGGCGCCGAAGAGGCGAGAACACGCGCTCCGGACGTCGACGTCGACGTCAACGTCAACGGCGACGTAGACGTAGACGTTGGCCTCGGCGACGACTGGCCGGACGCCGACTCGGTGGAC